CCTGTTTTCGATTTAGTAGTTTTGGTGGAAAAAATGTTTCTTATCAAAGTACACCAAAATCAAGTTTAAATCGTCTGAATCAGGTCACTTATAGTTAAGACCTGGCTTTGACTAAAGAATTAAAATAATATTAATTTCATTTTGAAGAGTTATTTTCCAACCAAGTTCAAATTTTCCAAATCAGGTCGTATTCTGTCGATATATTCCGATATTATATTGACAGACTTTGGTCGGCCATATGTAAACGAGTAAGAGTTAGAAATATGAAAAACAATCTGTCAATCGCTTTAGACTTTTAATTTCGGATATTTTGCTTATTCTTCAACTAATCGTCCTTATCTCGTTTCATTCCATAAATTGTTGTTGCGCGAATCTTTTCCTATAGGTATTTCCTTATTTTATCTATTTATTTGCCGAAAATTAGTACGCAAAAGTCCATATACTTTTATATATCTATATTTTTCCGCTCGAGGCGCCTTAATTATAAAATAAAATTCTTCAATAATTATTAGGAATAAAATAAAACAGGTGGTTTTTTGTACATAATTATTTTAGATTAACTAAGTGAAATTTTATGTTACAATAGAAAAGACTAATAAATTGAATCAATACTTATAAACGAACTAGACAAGTTTAGTACTGACTGCTGAGAGACTTGCTAATTAATCGGTTTAGCATACTGAACTTTTAAGTCTAAGCTTATTAATGAAAAAATATATAGAGTTCAATAAAATGGCGATCGTATTGGTTAACATCTTAATATATGATTTTATGATTTATGAGAATTTGTTATTTCCAAAAAACTTCACTCGATTTTAATTTTTATTATAGACGTTTTTTGTTTATTATTGAAAATTTGTTCTACCAATTTCATACCATTAATTTTTAACTTATGCAAAGAAAAATATCAAATTACAGAATTAATTGAACCATCGAAAAACTTTTTTCTTGATCGAAAAAGTCAGAAATAACTTTAGAAGTTTTTCAATATTTAATTAACATAAAAAGCTATTGAATTAATGATACCAAGTGAGTTATATTTTATTATTTATTCTCAAAAGATTCTCAGGAGCATAATTATGTTTTGCATGTACTGATAAAAGAAATTTATAATAGTTGAAAAATAATAAAAGAATTCTTTTTAACTATTGTTAAGTACAGAGCAAATTATATTTATATTTAAACAAATGACTTATCTGTTACTTGATATCTTGTCTGATACATTTGTAAAATGTATTAAATGTGTCTGAAATGCTAATCAAATTCACATACTTTTTACGTGTTAAAATAATACATATCTAATAATCGAGATTTGCGATGATGAGAAAAGAAAAAGAAAAATATGTTTTTTATTTTTTTGTTTAATAGAGCAAACTTGGTTCATATTTTACATCTTACATGCTTTAATAATTCAAAACACAACCAATGGATTTTTCAGGTCCATCCATAAAATATAGTCCGATGAAGTTTTTGGTTGACCGAGTTTTTCTTGTTCATTTATCCTCTTCAACAAAGCTCAGATGTAAAAAATTCCTGTTCCATTATTTTTGTATTGGCTTTTCATTATTTCTTTAATATATTATGATATTTTTTCATATGTCATACTGAGAGAAGACTTATTATCTTTATTTTACGTGAGCAATGGCTCTCTGTTCTCTCGTAATTTACAATACAACTTTTTAAAATAAGTTTTAATTTATCTCTGCTGTAAAAATAATGAATAAAGATAATCAATTGTTTTTGAATAAGTTTTAAATGTTTTCGTTGAACAATTTATTGATTTTTCTCTTAATTAATACGTGTTGAAGTATCCTAGACCTAAAAGTTATAAAAAAAGTGTACAAGAAAAACTTATTGAATTTTTTTATAGAAGAAACAAAAGAAAAAAGATCATATTTAAGGTAAAAAGTTCTAGCTCCCTAGCTCGGAACTAATCCACAGGGACAACTCACAAGTTGTTTTAATAATAAACGTGAATTTCCACAGTACGGTTTCGAATAGTTTGTACAATCAGCTACTGGTATTTCTGCTTTACCCTGTTATATTCAAAAGCATTCAATTCATGTGAGTCAAATCGTATGAGAATTTAAAGCGAATCGCATACTCGATGATATTCGGATTTTATGCACTACTGCGTATTATTTAACCCCATGACTTTAACAGCAACTTGGACTCTCGATCGTTTTTTCATTTTTTTGGTTAACTTTGCTCAATATTTCATCACTGATATTTTTTTCCTAACAGAAACTTGATTATTTTTATAGAAGTTATGTGTTTCAACCAAAATCATTGTATCTAAAATGCGAAATATGTATTAATAATACTTTAATACAACAAGTAATAACTTGACTAAATAATATTTTGAGTACTCGATTTTTCACAATTCTCTGTAATATATTGACTCGAATTGTAGTGTTTATTACTATTCACCTAGTTTATTAACATTGTAACGATATTTGATGCACTTGAATGTGTTAAAAAAGGGTACAATAATGTTAATTGAATAACTGATGTCACATTAAAACACTTTCAAATTTAAGATTTGCAGTAGATGCATTTGTTTAAATCTTAAAAATAAAGACACTCAAGATGAGAAAATCTTTCCGCTGAAAGATAGCTCGAGGGATATTTGGATTAGAATTCTCGGAGGATTTTCCGGACTTCAAGAGAGATGAAGTCACAGAAATTCCTTGGTACATTTATCGGTGACTATTGTAAGAAATACTGCATTTTAAAGTCAACATCAACGGTAAACTCATGGAATAAAATTTTGTTTTTCTTCTTTTAGTATTTTTTCAGTTTATTTCATATTAGTTATTAACAACTCTTCCATGTAACAAAAAAAAACTATCATGAGTTGAATAAATTATTTGTTTATTTGATAAATTCTATATTATTACTTCCGAATAATATTAAATTAAAATATTTTTAATAGAGCTCCGATGCTTTTTTTTTTATATTAAAGAAGTTCACTTACATTATTCCTTAATTTGAAAGAAGATAAAGTATGTATCTCGTTTTATTTTACATATTTAATTAACTTATTCCTTCTAAGAAAAAATCATTAGTAATTCTATAAATAAAATTGGAATGTTTTTTCTCAAAGTCAATTTCTATGTCTAACAAAAATTGCATAATTCACATGAAGCTTTTGTGAAAATATAAAAGAATGGAAAAGTATAATGCACGATGTTGAATATAATTTGATAGAAGCATGACCAGATTTAGGTTCAGCAAAGCTTTTTATAATTTTAAGTAATTTTAGGCCAAAGCTACTTAAGAGATTTTTATGTACCTATTTATATTACCTACATAGTTGATATTGTAATGTAAGAGACATCAGAAAGTTCATCATTTTAAAAATTCTTGTTATAAATTTTTTTATTTTATCATTTTTAGGATCAGCTTTGAAATGAAGTAATACATAAATCAAGAATAAACATAAAAAAAAATTAATAATCCATATTTTTAAAGATTCATGGTGGCCTATTGTACTTTCAGTTGCAGAAGAGATTGGATAAGCGATCTGTCTACAGCAGTCGTATTTCCCTACTTAAACGTTGTGATGATCGATTCTTTCATATGAATGATTTTAAATCTATTTTTTTATAAAAAATGCAGTCATTTTGGATATAGATTCTATGTAAATTAACATTCACTGACAAAATATCTGTAAAATTAAATCCATTTTGAACAGTAAAAATTTTTCAATAACAAAAATTTAACAAACTGACATTGATCAAGTGCTTTCTAAAAAAGAACAAATGACAATTACTCTAAAAAATTAAATATTCTCTAATTCATTTTTAAGACTAATTAAATAATTGATAGGCGAGAATATTTAGCTGAAAATAATATTGGAGCAGTTAATGGTACGCTTCTATCAATTTAAACGAGCTTTTACTGCGAATCTTAAATTTGGAAGTGTTTTGTTCCAATGCACTAAAAGTGTTTTAATATGAAGTCACTCACTTGATTAATATTGTATTTCATTGAATTAATGAAAATTTCCATTCTTTTTATCTACGTAGATTCTTAAATGAGTGACATCGTAATTAGAATTTATACTTGTCCATGATTATGAGAAACTTAGCATTTTTTATTAAAGATATCTTTCATAACTATAATCAGTAAATCAAGAACTGAATAAATCTATGTTCGGAGAGCTATAAAATTCCAAAATAGTTGACTTTTTTATCGAAAGCAACAAAAATATCTCGGAGTAAAAATAATCATTTGATCATTATTACATCAATGATTTCGTTTTTACAAGTCCATCTATAAGAAGTAAATGAAAACTATATTCTCTAGTAGAATATGCCAGTCTTGCCAGTAAATAAAGTTATCATCCAGTCATGGCTGAGTACGGAAACATTGCTGGATGATAACTTCCTGCTTGTTCCATTACTGTATCAATAATGGATCTGTTGTATGTTCCTACTAGAGATTTCAAACAATTATTATGTGACACTTACATTGATCGATAAGATATCAATTCTTTTGTATTTTTTATCTTTATACACGGAGAAAAAGGAATTGTAAATTTTACTCCAATAAATAGTAGTCTGACATTTCGGGTAGAAAAATGGCAATAAGCAATTGTTTAATTAGTATACATTACAATTTTTTCTTTTAAAAATTTTATTATGAATGCAAATTGTGAACTATATAAAAATAAATATAAAATATTACAATTAGAGCGTGTAATAACATTTTTAAAAGAAAAAATTGTAATGTATACTAATTAAACAATTGCTTATTGCCATTTTTCTACCCGAAATATCAGACTACTATTTATTGGAGTAAAATTTACAATTCCTTTCTCTCCGTGTAGTTTTGAAATTTTTTTAATATCTGATACTTAATCTACGAAACATTATTACATTGTTTCTTAATTATTCATTTTTTTTCCATTTTTTATGAATTTTAAAAAATAATATTAAACTTAATTGGAGTAAGATCATTAATTTTAATGATAGTTATTTGTTTTCTGATTTTAGGTGTTGCCGTAATTAATTGTAATTGAAATAACTAGATTCCGGTAAGTGAATATATTTTTTTTATCATTAATATTCATGATAACCTAAACTACCGTCGCTCGATAATTGAAAGGCTCATTCGGATTAAAATTATCATGGATATTCTGTAACGAGAGAAGATAACACAAGTTTGAATCCCTTTATATGCCATCTGGGTGCCATAAATTTCTAGTGCAGTCTCTATCCTAAAATGCTTATTTTACAATCGTAAAGTTAATATTCCACAAAAGATAAAAATGTTAATTTTTTTACTAAAAATAAATCTTTATTAATTTTATAAATAAACTAACAAAACAAACGAGATGCTTTTTCTCAATTATTATTGATATTAATATGAAATATGGACAAAAACAATCCATTACCATGTAACCAATTTTTTAAAATACGTTTTAAAATACGTTAACAATCATCTGAAAAAATTTTTTGCTAAAGATATTCGACAGTTGAAATTTTGTTATGAAAACAATTATTCTATTTTTAGAATTATTATGACATATGTTAATGAATCTTAATTATTAAAAAAGTGTTAATAAGATAAATAATTATAGTAAAATTTAGTAATGACAATTCATTCGATTTTAGTAGTTCATGTCACTTTATTGAGATTTCAATCATTCATTTGTTATTTATAAACTTTTGAAAATTTTAACCTCATTATTGGAAAGTAATTAATAATAACGCCATTGGTTTGTATTAGCGTTATTTTCATTAATAACATTTTAATATTTTACAAATTATAACATTGTTAATCCTCTTAAAATAGGCGACATGAACGGATTATACACGGTTTAAGTTGTGTTTGGTATGTAGTGAAGTAGACAAGAGTCAAGAGAGAATCGGGGTTCTAGAGGCTGATACATAGTAACCAATATATCGATACCACTACAGCCCGTATGTCTTGTCTTTCATCCATAATGTATATATGTTCGTATGTTGTCTATCGTTTCTGTTTCCCTATATCAGTTCCGGTAAACTTGTATCATTGTTTGCGAATCATTGAATGGATTTGAAATCGACTATAGTCAAACATACACTGGGCTCGTTTAAGATTGTCACAAAAGTTTCGATGCAGTAGAGAAAACATTACAGTAGTCAGACTTTTTTACGTACAATATGATAGATCCAAAAACTTTGTCATTCGAATTTTAATTTTTTTGCAAGTTTCAAAACATTTTATTCCAAAAAAATTTGAAGAAACATTTTTGTGTTTTTTATAATTTTTTTTTTGTAGATAAAATTTAAATTACCAATATAACTAAAATGTCAAAGTTAATTATTTTGAAGCATAAATATTACTAAAAATAGTTGTCAGACGAGATACATAAAAGACTCCACAATTGTTCAATTTGTTTTAAAGCATACGAATATTATTTTCTTTAAAGTAGGGAAAGCTTCTTCAACTAATTCAACGGTGGGTATTTACATTTGTTTTTACACTTGTCCCTATGATAAATTTGAAGGGAATTGTAGTTGTGTTGAAGAGAAAGTTTCTGTTTTGTCTGCTCTAGTTCTTCTTTTTCTAAGGATTACTTTTAGTTGTTCAGGGTGAGTTAAGAAGGCAATCAATCGAAAAGAACCGAGAAGTCACTTCAGAACAAACATTTTAGTCATCTTTAAATAAACTTGAGTTCAAGCAAACATTTCTTGATTTTGTTGAGTACAAACTAATGAATTTCTTTACAGTTCTTATTAGTGATTCTAATAATTATTATTTGATTTAATTTAAATGTTTTTTATCTTTGATACATTCTCTGCAAAAATCTTTTTCTATTTTTGTTATAAATGGATAAGTTGAATTTTTTTTCACCCAATAAAATTCGATAATGTTCTTATTAGAAGAATTGATGCAATTAATAAAGTTTTTATTTGATTAACTCAGATAACTAAAAGTCATCTTTTGTCTGAAAATAACGAACAAACTTTGTCTCATAAAAAGGAAATAAAATATTTTGGGTATTTATTTTAACAAACAATAAAAATTTCATCACAATAATAAAATAAGACATTCGTTTGGTAGCAAAATTAAACGTTAAAAAACTAGTTCAGTTCTTTTTAAGGTTGTAATTTTTTCTGAATAACAAAAATCTTCTTGATATACGAGTAAATTAAGAAAATATTTCACTTGTACGTTATAATAATAAATAAAACTTTTTCAAGTAATTAAATTTTTAAAGTAATAAAATTGAATGTCAACAATTGAACGGATATAATTGTGTCTCTTAAAAGCATTTTCTTATCTTTAAATTCTATTTTTCTCTTTCGTATATCATGAACAAAGATAGAAGATTTTAATTATCGTCTAGAAATGTGGTTAAACACAGATACGAAGAAGCTACATTACAAAGTAACACGGTTAATTAAATTTTAAAAGTATCTAGCAACAATTTAACTTGAACTTTAACAGGTTATATTAAATTTTTTTCTTTATATTTCAACATACTTTTCAAAAGTATCTAATTTATTTAAACTCGATGTTTTTCTCAACTATTATTAATATATGAAATAATATATTCTTGGAAGAAAGTTTAAAAGCACAGAAATAAGACGAAATGTATTTTTTTTTACATTGTTGCGAATTTGTCAAAGCTTAGTGCCTTTTATACTATATATAAATATAATTCAAGAAGTGCGTGACTAGTGAGAGGAAGGAGAATATTTCTCAGATTCTAGGCGTTGTTGTACCGCCCTCTGAATTTTAATCCATCTGCCTGAATATTCAATTGTTGGTACAATGTCGAAAGAGGAAGAAGCGCTAACTCATTCTCGTCTTCTTATCCTCTCTTCGTCACTTACGAATGAAGAAGCTTTTACTTCCAACCTCTATACATCTGCTATTTTCCTTCTACGACTCTTTCTACTGGATTCAATTATCCGACGTTCTTGTCGTCGACGTTAGTTCCCATTTCTCCAGATGTTCTAACCCAAGTATCTTCAGAATTGTCGTATATTACTCAAGATTCTGTTTTCTTTAATCTAATCTAATAAAAAAAAAATTTTTCTCTCACTAAAATTTTTTCACTTCAACGTTTGATTTTACAAGTATCGTATCTGAGTAAGCTTAAATCAAATCAAGAGTTGTCGTAAAAAATATTGCACAACAATAGTCAAAATTATTTAAAATTTTATTTCTTTTACCATACCGCTTGCCATGTTTTCTGTTTACCTAAACTTTGTAGTCATTTATAGTACAAAATTTTTTTTCGTGAACTATTTAGAGCAGTAAAAATTACTGTAAACCTATTTTCACTTACTACGTCATTGATACAATGATTGAATGCGAATTAATGGTGAAAGTTATTTTAGAATCAATCGGCCATCACGAAGTAATAGAAAAGAGTTATATGACTTATATTTTACGCATTTTATTTAAGTAAAATTTGCCAGAATTTTGACAAATAACTTTCGAATAAAAATTGTCCTTACGAAAATATTGTTTCTTCTTTTCCTCTAATTTATAGAAAATATTACGAGTTATCAGGATTTGTGTAATTCATGAAAATGAGTTGTTCTGTAATTTAATGATATCCGGTCCATTGCTGTTAGCATAAATTTTTCGAACGTTTACTATTTACATTAAGTGCAACGAGCGAAGTATTGATTAATTTTTATAAGTTATAGAATGATTATCAATATAAATAAAATTAGAATGTATGTCTGTAATATTTAGAAAATTGCGTTCGACTATTCTCTGAACGTTATTTGCACATTATTAAAACAAATAACGATTTGTAGAATTTTTGTAGGCCCGCCTGTCTGGACTCATTTAAAAAACGACTGAACTAATTCCGATGAAACTTTACAAATATGAAGAGTATAATTATAATTAATGTGATGATGATCACAAAAAACAACTATAAATAATTATGGATTGATATTAACTGTTCCCCATTTGTTTAATTGTTTGCATCTTTGCGCCAGACTTCGAAAAAAATCTTGCAGATGTTCGTCTAAAACAGTGACCGGTGTATCGTTTTACATCTTTTAAATTTAATTAAGAAGCAATCGTTTGGAGTATTTTTCTTATTTTGTGCTTTTTAGTAGTTTGATGATATTGGATAAAAAACCTGTCACTGAATTCTTCTGTTGATCTCAATAAAATATATAGCTTATCTTTATCATAGAATAGGGATCCAATGATGAACTGGCCAATAATCTCATCACATCGAAGAGCATCGCGAACACTGAATACAAGTATAATCTGCAATTATTACGAGTGTAAGAATGCAACAGAACTATACATAAGAAGTAAAGCATTAATTGAGACATACGTATGATAACTATTATCTTTGCAGCTAAGTATATACGATCCGGTGTATTTTTCATAGATTCCATGATTTGATCCCACCTTAGAATGAAAGACTTTTTAGGCTTGTACCTTTGGAATTGTTGGTTATCATACTTTTCAACTTTAAAAAGTTACTGATATTGACGTCATCATTTATATTCAAAGTTTTTCGTAGTATGCTCCAAATACTCCAAAGAGTCGGTGGTTTTAGTTTTCTTTTTAGTTTAATAAAATAAACAATCAAATTATTTTCATCCGAGTTTAATAAAGAATTTACATTTTCTATTTGCCACTTTTTATAATGATTATAAACTAATAAATAGCGTTCACTAGATTTGTTCAATAATGTTTCTGTTTAGACAATTATTTTAGCTTCTTCATCAAAAATTTTTTATCAGTTCTTCATCTGCGGAATGATCAGATAAAGAAATTTCGATTCTGTTTACCTATTTACACAATAAAAGTTAATGTACGTTTTACAGTTGAATTTCGTTGTAATGGACCTCGTTACATGGACCGCTGGTTATAATTGACTGCACTCTCTCATTATAATAAACTTCCCCTATTTCCACCTAATTTTTTGTTTGGCCAATCATGTTTATAATAAGATGCCGCGTATTTTTGAAATTATGAATGTTGATCTGCCCAAGTGGTCAATTATAACGAGATTCGACTGTAGTTGACCTAGGTTATGGTGAAAGCGCTGTGCCATATACT